TTTTTATTTTTGCATGTTATCACTGTGCCCGTTTTTTGCTTTTATTCTTTGTTCCGCAAAGTGCGCTCTTTTAGTTTGTAGTTATGTGACAATATATATGGAGCTTTTCTTTTCTCTTTGCTTCCAATTTATAGAGATCCCATTCTGGAATCACAACCCCTTCTCAATATGACTTTTCGTCAGTAATATGGACTACTCTTCTTGCTGCAAATTTACAGGTCATTGTGCTGCTTCGTTCTTTGATGTCTTATGCTTTTCTCTTCTTGACAGATCGGGTTTACATCTTCGACATGTATAACTGGCAGATTTACCCCCATGTGAGTTGCCACCACCCTCCTCTGGACTGACCTGTCTGAAATGGAAACGCGGCTGAACGAAAATAACAAAAAGAGCGTTTTTTTTTTCTGAAAGTGGTCGTTTCTGTGAAGTCGATCTTTGCCATAACTGCTTTTGAGAAAAAAAACGGCCACACCTTCTCGCCATGAAAGTGCCCTCGAATCGCAAAGCGTACCAAATCGGCAGAGATGGTATGGTTTCTGGTGCTCAAACAAGGAACTGCTAAGGGCAAGAGTTCCTTTCCACCAGCAGCCACTGAGGTGAGGAGATTAAATATATGGACAGCAATCAACGTCGGTATCCCATGCCTCAAAGCAGCACTACCTAACCCGCTGTTTTGGAAAATGGGAAAATATCTTACTCCTAAAAGATTGGAGGCTGGGCCGGCTGTTGAGAAATCTCATCGACTCCCGTGATTTCATTTCCGCCTCCTAAAGAATCGGGGGCCCGACATCGGCCCACATGGGGAAAGGTACTGGTGGTTTAAGAACTGCTATCCCAATGTCAAAGAGTTCCTAGTCTTGAAAGAGGGAAAGTGGTGACTGCTCTGTGTGTGTGTGTGTGTGTGTGTGTGTGTGTGTGTGTGTGTGTGTGAGAGAGAGAGAGAGAGAGAGAGAGAGAGAGAGAGAGAGAGAGAGAGAGAGAGAGAGAGAGAGAGAGAGAGAAGTTGACATCTATTACAGGGAGACATCTCCTGGTTCAGACTTCAACATTGTGCTGGAAAGCAATTGGAGGCAGAGTCTGAGTGGAGAAGTGATATTTTCTATTATTTTCTATTTCGGCTTGCAAAAAAAAAGGTGGTGACTATTATGGGTTCTGTTTGAGTCAGGGGCAACATTCCACTTAGCTGGGTGCTTGTTTTTTGCAGTTGTCAGTTCTTGTAGCCTATGGACGTGAGCAAAGAATATAGGCAGGTGGGATGGGAATGCATGCCTTAGAGAAAACGGACAACGGCAAATTTCCCAAAAGAAAGAAAATCTCAGGGTCAAGCTGGGATTTTTTGTAGGCCCCTGGACCATCTCGGCACACCCAAAACCGACCTGGTTGAGGTTGCAGGTGGGCTCAGCACCAGGCAGCGACTGGTCTTTTTTTGGCCCGCTGGCTTTCCTTGCGGGTGCGTGGACGTCTCTTGTGCCAACGGCCGTTTTGGAAATCCGCCAGCCGTTTTGGAAATTGTTTCTGCGTGGAGGTCCATTCCTTCGACATGGCATGTCAGCCATCGATCTGACGAGATCTCTTTTCTTCCCCGTCTCTTTGTGATATGTTACCCGACATCTGCCTTCCTCAATCTCTTTCATGTCCCTCTCCATCTCCTGTCTGTGCTGCGTGGTGGTCCATCTGTGCGTGTCTGTGTGGGTACGTGTCACCCCAAACCTACCCCCTGCCCTTCCCCTCCCCCCCACCCCCCCCCGGCCTGAAAAAGAAAAGAAACGCTACATATCTTCAGATGGGCCGTATGCAGTTTGGCCCACTGCTGATGCGCCATGCGCCGACAGCCGAGGTAGAGGAGGAATCGGACCAAGGAGATGGAGTTCCATGAAAGCGACCGATTTGTACCATATTTAGGCCTGGGTAGCAGACTTAAGAGAACTAGGTTAGATGTACTATAATAGGTTAGGCTTGCAGTAAGAGATGCTCATGACTAGATCGGAGAGCTCACATGGGGTGGGGGGGGGGGGGGGGGGGAGCTGGGGGAATAATCATAGAAACTTCACAAAAAAAAAGAAAAAATCATAGACTAATGAAAGTAAAAAACACAGGATGACGTAGGAAATAGGTTTAGATGGAACAGAGGATGGTAAAGAAAATGCTGGGGCCATAGACAATAGACACAATGGGGAACATCCAATTGCTACAGCTTGGCTCAACTGCCGCAGCGATGTGCAATGAACCTCTTAGTTCAACACCAGTGAGCGCACATATTCACACCACATGCATGTATGAGATCACACAAAGTTCACACTGGAGACCAGAGAGATTAAGACCCGGCAGCGCAGCTTCAAGAGCCAAGTCACCAATGCTCATCAGCGCATGTCAAAGGTAGCCAATAACCAGCATAAGCTCAGGTAAGTATCTCTTCCCCCACTGCTCTTCTCTCTTATGTATCTCCCCTCCTTGCTGATCTTCTCCCTAGCTGTGTCCTCGCTGTGTCTTCTTTCCCTACATGCGTGCACACACGCTAACTTCTCGCAAGGATCTAGTCTGAATACACCCACTGATATGCCTACTAACCATACGAAGTCTGCTACTAACACCCTGCACTGGCGCAGCTGTGGCTGCCTTCCCCTCTCAGCTCTCTCTCTCTCTCTCTCTCTCTCTCTCTCTCTCTCTCTCTCTCTCTCTCTCTCTCTCTCTCTCTCTCTCTCTCTCNCTCTCTCTCTCTCTCTCTCTCTCTCTCTCTCTCTCTCTCTCTCTCTCTCTCTCTCTCTCTCTCTCTCTCTCTCTCTCTCTCTGTGCGCAGCACTCTGCCCCTCACTACAGCGCACAAGTGCACCAGCATTTCCACACTTCTTGCGAATGAGCAATCTCCCTGAATGGGAGGCTGGCCAGTCCTTTTGTAGTCTTGGATTGCACTTCAACTCGTGCCAGCCTCTGTTTCTTGGGACCTGACTGGTTCCGGTACCACATCTCCTCGGCCTGTCTGCTTTCGAATGTCAAGGCCTGGAACCTTCCCGAATTTCCGTAGGTCTGCTGCTGCTTGGGCCTTTGAGTCGTTACTTCTCGATTTTAGCATATGTTTTTTGACTGTGGACTGTGACTCCTGCCTCTGAGACACGGCTCTTGCCTATGGGACTGCCCTTCTTTTTTTTTATAAAGAAAGACAAGGCTCCAATGTATTCGTGGGGAGCAGCACGTGCTGGGAACCGGGCCCAGCGTCCCATATGGAAATTTACATAGAGTTTTGAAAGTTTGAGATACCGGGGCCATTACCTGGCTTTGGCTAAGAAAATTTTGAACGACTTATTACTGCCCTTTTTTTTTTTAAAAAGAAAGACAAGGCTCCAATGTATTCGTGCGGAGCAACACGTGCTGGGAACCAGGCCCAGCGTCCCATATGGAAATTTACATAGAGTTTTGAAAGTTTGAGATACCGGGGCCATTACCCAGCTTTGGCTAAGAAAATTTTGAACGACTTAGAAAATTACTACGACAAACTTCAGAGAAAAGGTCTGGCCACAATAAAACACGCCACCACAGAGGTCCTACAAATGCTCAAGACCCTGTGGATCCCTAGCAGCCCTTCTAAAACTCTCCAGCACTGTCTTACTCCCTGCCAGGCTCTTCCAGGCCTCACACTCCCACCCTGCTGGGTTACAGGGCAACACGACTCACCCCAGCTCCTACCAGGCCTCACACTCCTGCATCAGCAGGTTACAGGGAACACCCCAGCACCGGCCAGCGTCGTTCTGGCATCGAACAGCTGCAGATCACTGAGTATATCAGCAATGGAGCCATCTAAGATGAGTTGCAAGGAGTCCCCAAAAAACCTAAATCATTCTTAAGACCCCCCTTGGCAACCATGAACAACCAACCAAACCTTGGATCTTTTTTTTTTTTTTTTTTGTCATATTGAAAATGAGAAATTTATGAGAAATTTATGGAAAGATCCTTGAGATACCGTGGGCCTTACCCGGCTTCGGCTACGATAGACAACTATGTAATGTACACAAGAACACTAACATTCTGTGTCCCCCAAGGCTTGGATCAAAGAAGCATTCTGAACGAAAGACCATCTGCCTGGGCCTTTCAGCAGCCCCAACCTACCTGCCTCACCCCTGTATCCCAATGCCCAATCTCTACTCGACCTCATGCCCCGAACTGCTAGGTCACAGAGTGGCACGACCCACCCCAGAACCCCCTCACCTGCTAGGCCACAGGGCAAAGCGACCCGCCCCGGCTCCGGCCAGCATCGACTAGGCACCAGCTCACCAAAAGACAGTAGAGTGCCTTCCACCCTCAACAACTCCCCAGATCTCTCTACCAGGTCTCATGCCCTCGTACAGCTCGGTTTACAGGGCAGTGCGACCAAGCCCCAGCACCGACCGGCGTCGTTCTGGCCTCGTCTATTTGCACGCCACCGGGACTCGGGACTAAGGCAAATATCATTAAAGCCACCAATCAGCACCATTGCAGTAGATCTCATCATTCATCTCCTTCATGCACTGGTTGCAGATATCCCCCAAAAAACACCCCTGCGCCCTACTCCGGCAAGTCTTACCACGATGAAGCCACCATCTCCACCGCTGCTGTACCCTATTTCAACCCTACAGGCTAGCCCCTTTGCCACAGAGCGCGTCATCTCCCACCGTCACAACCACCACAACCCCCAGCCTCCAGCACCAAACCTTGGAAGAATTTTTCAAATAGGAAAAACAGGAAATAAAAAATCCTGAAAATCTCATGAGCATTTCAGCGCCCACTATTCCCACAGGGAGAGGGGGAGAGAGGGAGAAAACCACCATCTCTCCCCATGAAAACTCCAGCGGCTATTGAAGTCTCAGTTGCATATATAAGGGTCACAAGAATCGAAGGGATTCCTCCTCTCCCCCAAAAGACAACCCTCTCTGTTCACTGCCTCTGCGGTCCGTAAGTGGCCTTTCAAGTTTCTTCTCACGTTATACACAGCAGACCAGAGGCAAGTGGGCAAGTGGTGAGTCCAACTTCGCTTAGTCAGTGGTACCCAGTCCCAGTCTCACTTTGTACAGTCAGCAAGTACCATGAGGGACTGTGTGCACCATGGGCCCAGTGGAAAGGGGCAGACCAGCGACTTACAGAAGTAAAAATCAAGAGGCAGCGTCCAGCCATTCATTCATTGCTGCGTAAGCCATGTGGAAGCGCTGCCAGGCGACTTGTGCGAGGTGGTCTGCAGATGCCCGAAGTCGAAGTGGGCCGAAGGGAGATAGTTCGTCGATAGCCAGCAGTTGTAGAGCGGCCATAGCCGCTGTAGCTTAGTGATAGACAACAGTGTGTGTGTGTTTTATACTGAGCTGTGTGCGTGGGATATCCAGGGAGATCCTGAGTCGAGTGCACATGAACAGTTGGTTGAACACAGTGGCAACAGAGGATGTGAGGGCGCTCAGCGCCATAGCTGATTGGAAGCGAGTTTGTATCCGAACTGTGTTCGCGGCTTGATTATCTCTGAGCTTTGTGTGGGCGCACAGCGCCAGTGTGAATTACCATCTGTTTGCATGTTGTGAAGTGGAGAAGAAAGCGAGTCTGATTGCAGGTTACCCCCTTTGTTCCAAATACCGACTCTCCGCTGGCTCCCCCTTTGTTCCAAATACCGACTCTCCGCTGGCTCAATTGTTATTGCCAATTCGCCATTGTATTTGTCCAACAGGACTTGGAGGCAGCTCGAGCAATTTCTCGTGCAGTGCGGCTAAGGGTAAATAAAACAATCCTCTCCATCTCTCTGTCCCTCTGTCTGTCGTTTCATTTCTCTCTCTCTCTCTCTCTCTCTCTCTCTCTCTCTCTCTCTCTCTCTCTCTCTCTCTCTCTCTCTCTCT